GAGGGGTGGAACTGAATGAGCTTTAAGGTCCTTTCCAATCCAAACCATTCTGTGATGCAAGTTGGTCCCACACTGATAGCCATCTGTGTGCACGGGTTCTGGACTGTCTCTGTTGCCTCAGGTTACAGTTTGCATCATGCAGTGCTGATGTCCGTTGCATTTTTGCACTGGTGTTTTTTCTTCTTCCCACATGACTGGGAGGTGAGCAGGTAGCTAGAGCAAAGGGCTCCCTTGGGGGTAAAATGAGAGCCCAAAAGGATTCCATGTGAGAACCTCAGATTGCACAGGAGGTGTGTTACCTGAGGCACCAGGATCCCTGCTGGCACTTCTCTGACTGCAAAACCATGGAGCAAAGCCTACAGTGAACTCTTCTGGAAAGGCTGCTGAGTCTCCCATAAGAAGTAACTGCACACAGCAGCCAGCTCACAGAGTCATCAGGGACCTCAGTACACTAGTTCTGCGCATTTTCTCCAATGATCTCCTTAACTCCTTCTCTCCAGAGCTGCTCTGCACTCCTCTGCCTGCCCCAGGGCTGTGAGTCTCATCTCTTCTGTTTCTCAGCCCATCACGTGCCATTTGTTCCCCCATCTTTTGTACATCTCCTCCTCAGCCCGCCTCTGCATGGTTTACTTAGAGCAGATGTCCTGAACTGTTTGTTCTTGTCTCCAAGTCATCCCACTGAAAGGCAATCCCATTTGTTGGGGCTGACACGCAGACACTCCCCAAACTGATGAGATGATACATGGGGCAGTGAAGACAATGCTGCACCTTTCCTGGGGGGTACTGGCCAAACACCCCTCTAGAAATGGGCCTCAGTTGGCAAGAACTGCAAAAACCCTGTAACATGGAACTATATGAGATTTAAGGTCCCTTCCAACCCAAACTGTTCTATGATTCTGTGTTTCTATGTCATGGTTCAGTCCAGACACTCATCATTTCCTAGACAACTGGGAAAGCTGCATGTAGCAGGAATTTCCTAATGAGCAGCCAAGATGTGTTACAGAGACTGGAGCAGCTTATGCAAATATTTGGGCTTAAATCTGATCCTGGGTCACACTTCCTAAAACTCTTAGTCCTGGTGTGCTAGATGTTCCTGCAGCCAAGGAAGCAGGGCTTGGTATGGGAAACCCACTCCTAAATCAAGGTTCTTCACCTGTTTTTGGCTGAGGAAGGAGGTGGCTTCTGACAGCAAAAGGTGCTGCCAGCAGGGGAAGATTGTGTATCGTTCCCCTTTATAGGGGAGCATTTTAAGTGGACCAGGAGGATGCCCTCTGAAGGACAAAGGATACAAGCTACTGGAGGACACTGTGTTTGATAGATCATTGACTTGATGGACCATGGCAAGTCTTAAACAGAGATGCAGCCAGCAGTGCCTGCTTTCCAACAGAAGTTAACTGAATCCTCCTTTCACTGAGCTGATTGTCACGAGTCTTCTTGTTGCCAGCAGCATTTGTACAAAGACTCTTCTCCTTTCTTCTGTTAAGATGTACTTCCAGCAGTCAACATCACTACTTTACCCCCTCTGCTTATTCCAAGCACTTCTAGCTTTCACAACCTTAAAGAACTTTAACTCCCTAAGCAATCCTGAAGAACAAGGTCTTGGAAAAAAGATTAGCTTGCCACAGAGATATTTATAAGCCTTTTTTTTCCCCTTCCCTCCTGCTTACGAATTTCACCCCTTGGCAGACAGGTTGAGGATTGTTCTGTAACAGCTTAGCTACATATAATTAGAGGGAACAAAATTACGTGTGAAGCAGATACATTATCCAGTGTGAATACTACAAGCTTACCTGAATTTGAAAAGCACATGGGTGAGTTTGTGGAGGAGAAAAACATGTTGAGTGACTGTAGATATACTGAATGTACAGATACCATGTCTGGTTCGTAAAGTCCTTCAGATGTCAATCACAGAGGTCTGTGAGAATATTGTGGGGAAAGAGCTGCTGCTAGAGAGAAAAAAATGGACTAGGATGGTCTTTGCTTGATTTGATGTGGTTGCTTTTACGTCTTAGTTCAGTTCACTTTGTGATAAGCAATACCTGCCTAACCACCATGAGGAGCAAACAAGGACCTCGCAGAGCTTTGAAAACTGCTCATTTTATATAAAAATGCTGTTTTTCAAGGTAATTTATTATAAGCAGAACATTGAGGCATAAGGAAGCTTAGTGCAGTAATTACATTTGTTAAGTATGGGTCATTTCTGTCTGCTGGATCCACTTGATTGTTATTCATACAATGGTGTCTTTTTTGTGGGGGATTGAGCTTTTCAGTTACTGTTTTAAAAATGATTAGTGTTGGCTCGTGTATATCTTCACTCTCAGCAGCACTTACTTGTGTTTGAAGGCGTTCCTGAAGGCAAACCATGCTCCTCATTTGACCTGGATTTCACATTTAAACATCTCACTTGGAAACATTGCATTTTTTTCCCAAGTCTGTGGTATTTCAGTGTTTTGTGGATGACAGGCTTTCCATCTTGCCAAACTTCTGCCCATAAACAGGTCTCAAACCGTTCACAGTGCAGAGTTAAAACACCTTCAAGCTTTTGCTTTTTTTGTCTTCCTCCACGTAGAAAGGCAAATGTCTAATAGTTTATTTATTCCTGAAGTCTCGCCACCAGTGTTCTGCCATTAAGCACCACAGAAGACACTTACCATGGTCTCAGAGATCATCCCCTTCCATCTTCTTCATGATGGAGTTCCTGATTCTTCTTTTTTTTGTTGCTGTTGGAATACTCAAAAGCCTTTTGGTGACTTTAACTCTGATAAATGTATCTGCTCTTGAACCTCTGTATGGATTCCTTCTTGGAGGTAGAAGAATTTTCAGCCTATTGCTGATCATTGAAGAGTCTTATTCCCAAGTGTACCAATCCTGCAGAACTCACCATTTTGCCCGGCCATCTTCAACAGCTGTTAAATCAAAAGGTTTCCTTTGGCAAAATGTGCTGGTTTATGGTCCTCCTTCTCACCCAGAGGGATCACCACCACCAGCACCCATCCTGCTCAAGCAGTTGAGCAGCAGGTCTCCCTGTCCTGAGAGATTTACTCACCGTATCTTGAATTTGTTCCTTAACCGTACCTTGATTTTTCACAGCCAGGCAGGCTTTGTGACATTCTGACCTTGCAGCCCAATATAGAGGATGCTTATTGGTTAGAAATTTGTTTCCTTTGGCATTTGCAAAGGGGTGACCCTAGGGCAGGGCAGAATCATAGAATCACAGTATCATGGAATGGGTTGGGTTGCAAGGACCTTAAGATCACCTAATACCAATCCCCTGACAACTTCCACTAGACCAGGTTGCTCCAAGCCCCATCCAGCCTGTCCTTGAACACTGACAGGGATGAGGCAGCCACAGCTTCTCTGGGCAACCTGTGCCAGGGCCTCAGCAGTCTTTCACCTGCCCCCACAGCTCCGCTTGCCTCAGAGCTTCCGGACTGCAGCATGTCCTGAATTCCTCTTTGCAAACCGAGCCTCATCCTGCACTGTGTTATCATGCCATAGCTTGTGGTACGACAGCAGTCACAGCTGATGACTGCTGACCTTGTGTCTTTGTGCTTCTCCAGCGTTCTCTCTGACCCACCGATGATAGGGAGCATCCACCTGCAGCGCAAGGCTGGGCTCAGGTCTGTGGGATGCTCACCCCCCTTACACGGGTGAGCCTCGCAAGACATGACATCATGGCTGAGTGGCATCACTCTAACGTCACATCACGCCCCTCCCCGGCAGGCGGGTACATCAGGCTGCAGCCCCGCCTCCCCCAGAGCCCCGGGGTTACCCTGGAGCGGTATCCGTCGCCGGGAGAGCGGTACCCAGGGACGGGGAGCGGTACCCAGCGCCGCGGGAGGTGATGCAGGGCGGCCTGAGCTCGGCGGGGCCCGCCGGTGAGCGCGGGGCTGCGGGGCTGTGCCCGAATGAATGAGGTGTGGAAGGGCTGCGGGCGGCCGGAGCGGCGCTGGCCGTCCTGCATCACCGCAGCGCCGGCAGCGGGCTCTGCGCCGGCTTCCCTCCGCCACCCTGCCCGGGGTAACGGCGTGAGGTGCTGCTGCCATTTGGGGCCGGTGGCGGGAGTGTCGCGTTGCTCTTCCATCCCTTTCCTGGCCCTTTGGCTTCTCGGCAGGGGCCTGATACGGCTTTCTTCATGCGCCTGACACACACCCGCCTCTTCTTCATCTGTGGAGGCCTCATGTAAAGTAGATCTTTTCTTATGCACTCCAGGAGCATCATGGTCCCTCTCTCTAAAAGAGGGCAGATTCAGGCTGGATGTGAGGAAAAAATTCTTTGCAATGTGGGTGGTTAAATACTGGAACATGTTGTCCAGGTGTGGTAGACATACCAGCCCTGGAGACATTCAAGGCCAGGCTGGAAGTGGTTCTGGGCAACCTGATCTAATTGAAGAGGTCCCTGCTCATTGCAGGGGGGTTGGACTAGATGACCTTTGAAGGTCACTTCCAACCCAAACTGTTCTATGATTCTGTTCTGTGATTCCATGCTGCTCAGTAGCTGATGTATATAATTTTGGGGTTGCTGAGGTCAGATTTCTAGTTGTTCCCTTGGTGTTTCAGGCTGACATCATCTCTTGGCGGGCTGTGCAAGGGATACGGCGTCGTCCCACGGTCTTGCATCACCTCTATAAAGCAAGCGGCGGAGGTTGTGTGTGTGTGAAGGTTATTTTAACTGAGGTTAGCCAACACCTGCCTGCCAGACAGAACAGAACAAGCACGGCCATCCCTCTGCCCTGGCACATCCACCATGCCAGGGGACACAGGGAAGGATGCAGTGTTCCCTTACGTCAATCTGGGGCTTTCCAAGCCAGAGAAAATGCCAGCAAAGGGTGTGTGATGTCCTTCCAGGCTGCATCAACTGTTGGTTGAGCTGAGAGGATCTCCCGGTTGTTGCAGCTTGAACACTCTAAATGTGGTGATCCGATGGACTTCCCAGTTGGCAGCACCAGGGAGTAAGGCTTTCCCATGGGACACACAAGGTGGCATGTGCTTTGTCTTCTGGATGCCCATGGCAGGTGGTATCTTGCCACTCAAGCTGTTCTTGATACAGATGGAAGAAGCAGAGGAGCTTTCCAGCACATAAGCCCTTCTTCTTTAGGGTCAAAGCAGAAACTGGTTTTGGAGAGAGACATGAGTGGAGAACAATAGCTGAGAGTTCAGTGCTTGGTGTGGGCCATGTGCCCACGGCTGTTTGCTGTTTTGGAAGTACCAATGGTTGAGAATCTGCAGGATCCTGTGCCCAGCGAGTATCTTAACTTTCTTTGAAAGAAGCAAGCTCTGGACTTCTTTGCTTAGCTCTGTGGAGGAGCATCCCATGGGATCTCAGCAGCTATGCAGCCCCTGGAACACAGTGGGAGATTTGGGTTTTGGTTCTGAGCTCTCTCTCTTCCCTCTTACCCATTTTCTTTGACATTTACTGTTGTGGGATTTCCCAGACCTAACCCATGAGTTTATTTTTCTTGTCACTGTAGTGTTCTATCAATAGCTAATACATAAGAAACTACTAGCTTAAATAAACATGTTTTTGTCTTTTGCATGAGCAGCAGGTGATTGCTGCTTGTAGAACACATTGGAAATCCTGCAAAGGAACAGTAGCTGGCACTTAACTCGCTAAATGTCATTTTATGAGCTTGTTTCTTTCTTTCCCCTCTTTTCTCTATCTCCGTGCTTTAATCTTCTCACAAAACTCAGAAATTCCCTGCTATCAATGGAGATAATTGCTTTACATTCCAAGATATGTTTGCTTCATGCTAATCCTTTGTGCAGCAACCGATCAGTTTCAGACCTGTCTTTCAGAGATGGCGCTAGGTTGTGTGATGCTGTTAGTTAAAGGAGCTGGTTGCATAGCTTTGGTGTCCTCTGCCTATCACAAATGTGCAGACATTTCAGAGCCAAACAAATGTGAACAGAGTGATATCCCTGGCTGCTGCTCTCATGAGCAAGCTCTTTTTTCTTCTCTTTTTTTTAAGGTGTGGGACAACTCCTACTTTCTGTCTGGTTTTGATTGGCTTTCAGAAGAGGCAGTGTCCTATAAATTGCCCTCGCCAACCTGCTTCTGCTCTATCACCAGCTTACAGACAGGTGAGTACAGAAAAGGAAAGATTCCAGCCTGTATCGCTTAATCCTTGACATTAGCATTGGTGGTTAATTGAAATTAGTGGGGTAGGGGAAATAAATTCCATGTTTCAGGAGAAAAATGGCTCATTTTCCTTGATCTAGGAAATGAAAGAGCTTGTTTCGAATATCAGGTTTTGTCAGTGAGTAAACCCAGTGTCTGAGAAAGTAGTCAGAAGATAAGGGGGGGGGGGGGGGGGGGGGGAAGAGTGTGTTTGAAAATAGGTATGATTGTTCTCTCCCCAGTTCCTAACAGTACAGAAGTACTCCTCTGTAACGTAGGATAAAGAAACCTATAGTTTGGGATAGCAAGAAAGAGAAACCTATTAAAAAAAAAAAAAAGAATGTTCTTTTTTACATCAGTTAAATGAATACTTTTTGTGTTTAGAGCTGTTAATAACTCCTTGAAGTTAAGTGGGAAACTGATCTAACAGAAGGGGCTTTTCTGTCCAAGTTACTTTTGTGAGCTAATCACTGTGTTGGGGCCAGCTTTATCTCATGGTTGGTTTGGGGGAATGTTTTTAAGGCATGTTGTTAATTTCTTAATGGATCTGTGCATTGGTTGGCAACTTTAGAATTTCAGAGGTAGTTACAGCATTTCCCACCCACCCTCCCCTTCATATTTGAAATAGAAATAAATGCATGTCGTAGGTGGTGATTTTTGCATGCAGTTGTGCTGCTGGGTGAGAGAGGGGGGTTTTCAGTATCTGGTATAAAGTGTGTTTACTGTTCTTTAGAGTCAGCCTAGGCTTACACGTAAATTCTCAGCTTAAGCCTGGGAATTTCACTCCAGGTATGTTTGCAGAAACCAGTTCAGTAGGTGGGAAAACAGCTAGCCATGAGTGTGGCATTTTCAGTAACACCTAACTTCAGTTTGTACTTTGTTTATAGAGCTCAAAATGCCTTTTCAGGTACTTCAAGCAGAAATTCTCTGCAGCAGAGGCCAGAGAGGCTCTCTTATTGCCGTAAGAGCTGTTTATTGTCCCATTCTGAAAGAAGAAGGGTTTATCATGGCTCTTTAAAAGGCTCTCACTGCCCTTTAACGCTTTCACATGGGTTTCCTAGGAAGAAACTTGTTTTATGAGGTTGAATTGTCTGGATATGTCTGCCTGCTGCTTTCGGCCCCTGCACACATAACTATTTTTGCACCTATTGGCTAATTTCAAGTAAGCTTGACAGAGACTGGGTCTCAAACACATCTGTTTTGTGAAGATGGGTTTGCAGGGGAAGGAAATCTCATTAGTGCCTTGGCTGAGCATTAGAGGATGGTTGTGGTTGGAGGGGACCTCTGGAGATCATCTGATCCATCCCCCCCTGCTTAAGCAGGGCCACCCAGAGCTGGTTGCTCAGGACCATCTCCAGATGGCTGTTGAAGATCTCAAAGAATGGAGACTCCATCAGCTCTTTGGGCAACTTGTGCCTATGCTTGGTCACCCTCACAGTAAAAAAGTGTTTCCTGATGTTCAGAGGAATCTGCTGTGTTTCAGTTTGTGCCCATGGCCTCTGGTCCTCGCAATGGACACCACTGAAAAGAGCCTGGATTCCTCCTTTGCACCATCCCTTCACGTATTTATATACATTGGTATTTCCTTGCAACCTTCTGTTCTCCAGGCTGAGCAGTCCTCAGCCTCTTTTCATAGGAGAGATGTTGCTGTCCATCATCTTGGTGGTCCATCAGAAATATAAACTGAACTGTACTAATGAGTGGTAGAGGATCAAGATAGGAGAAAGATGTCATAACCTCTGAGACTGAGCCCTCAGGAAATGGAGCTTTCTCACTTTCAGCACTCAAGGAATAGCTTGCTTGCTCTATTTTATAGGTGGAGTTAGATGCAGGTATATAGGGTTGGTGTGTAGCAAGGAATTGCTAGAGACTTGTGCAAAGCCTAGCAAAGATAGAGTGATTGCTTCTGTGGCACTGTGACAGGAGAGATATGGCTTTAATAGATCAAGCCTATAATCAGGGAGACTGACTCACAGTATCACAGTATGTTAGAGATTGGAAGGGACCTCAAAAGATCATCTAGCCCAATCCCCCTGCCGGAGCAGGAACACCTAGATAAGGTTACACAGGGATGTGTCCAGGTGGGTTTTGAATGTCTCCAGAGAAGGAGACTCCACAACCTCCCTGGGCAGCCTGTTCTAGTGTTCCGTCACCCTCACTGAGAAGAAGTTTCTTCTCAAGTTTAAGTGGAACCTCTTGTGTTCCAGTTTGTACCCATTACCCCTTGTCCTATCATTGTTTGCCACTGAGTAGAGCCTGGCTCCATGCTCGTGACACTCCCCCTTTATATATTTACATACACTAATAAGGTCACCCCTCAGTCTCCTCTTCTCCAAACTATAGAGACCCAGCTCCCTCAGTCTTTCCTCATAAGGGAGATGCTCCACTCCCTTAATCATCTTCGTTGCCCTGCGCTGGACTCTCTCCAGCAGGTCCCTGTCCTTCTTGAACTGAGGGGCCCAGAACTGGACACAATATTCCAGATGCGGTCTTACCAGGACAGAGGAGAGGGGAAGGAGGACCTCTCTCGACCTACTAACCACCCCCCTTCTAATACACCCCAGGATGCCATTGGCCTTCTTGGCCACAAGGGCACAGTGTTGGCTCATGGTCATCCTGTCGTCCACTAGGACCCCCAGGTCCCTCTGCCCTACACTGCTCTCTAACAGGTCGTTCCCTAACCTATACTGGAACCTGGGGTTGTTCCTGCCTAGATGCAGGACTCTACACTTCCCCTTGTTATATTTCATCAAGTTATTCCTTGCCCAACTCTCCAGCCTGTCCAGGTCTCGCTGGATGGCAGCACAGCCTTCTGGCGTGTCAGCCACTCCTCCCAGCTTAGTGTCATCAGCAAACTTGCTGATAGTACACTCAATTCCCTCATCTAAATCGTTGATGAATATATTAAATAATACTGGTCCCAGTACTGACCCTTGAGGCACTCCACTAGATACAGGCCTCCAACTCGACTCAGCCCCATAGACTACAACTCTCTGGCTTCTCTCCTTCAGCCAGTTCCCAGTCCACCTCACTACCTGATCATCCAGACCACACTTCCTCAATTTAGCTGTGAGGATGCTGGGGGAGACTGTGTCAAATGCTTTGCTGAAGTCAAGGTAGACCACATCCACCGCTCTGCCATCATCCATCCACCGTGTTATTTCCTCATAAAAGGCTATGAGATTGGTCAAGCATGACTTCCCCTTGGTGAAGCCATGTTGACTGCCCCTCATAACCCTCTTATCCTTGATATGCCTTAAGATGGCACCAAGGATAAGGTGTTCCATCACTTTCCCAGGGATGGAGGTGAGGCTGACCGGTCTATAGTTACCCGGGTCCTCCTTCTTGCCCTTTTTGAAGACTGGAGTGACATTTGCTTTCCTCCAGTCCTCAGGCACCTCTCCCGTTTCCCAAGACTTGGTAAAGATGATGGCGAGTGGTCTAGCAATGACTTTCGCCAGTTTCCTCAGCACCCGCGGGTGCATCCCATCTGGACCCATGGATTTATGGATGTCCAGTTGCTCAACTGGTCTCTAACCCATTCCTCATCGACTAAGGCAAACCGCTCCATTGACCTGACTTCATCTAAGGTCTCAGGGGTACAGGGCTCTTCAGGACTGCCTGCAGCAGAGTAGATAGAGACAAAGAAGGCATTCAGTAACTCTGCCATCTCTGTATCTTCTGTCACCAGGGCACCCATCCCGTTCATCAGTGGGCCTACATTGCCTCTGGTGTTAGTTTTATCTGCCATGTATTTGAAAAAGCTCTTTTTGCTGTCCTTGACCCTTCTCGCCAGGTTTAATTCTAAGGAGGCCTTAGTCCTCCTAGCTGCCTTTCTACATCCTCTAGCAGCAGCCTTATACTCCTCCCAAGTGGCCAGCCCCTCCTTCCATGACCTGTAAACTCTCCTCTTCCACTTGAGCATACCCAGCAATTCCCTATTTAGCCACGCAGGTCTCCTGGCCCTCTTCCTTGACTTCCTACGTGTTGGGATGCTCTGATCTTGAGCTCAGAAAAAGCAATCCTTGAATGCCAACCAACTATCTTGGGCTCCTTTACCTTCAAGCAGCCTTGCCCATGGGATTTCCCCTAGCAATTGCTTGAAAAAACCAAAGTTTGCCCTGCTAAAGTCCAAGGTTGCAATTCTACTCGGTATTCTACTGGTCCTAACACACAAGATCCTGAATTCCACCATCTCGTGGTCGCTGCAACCAAGGCAGCCCTCAACCCTTACTGCTTCAACCAGACCCTCCTTGTTAGTGAGGATGAGATCCAGCAGCGCTCCTCTCCTGGTCGGCTCATCCACCATTTGCAGGAGGAAGTTATCATCCATACACGGGAGGAACCTCCTGGACTGCGGCTGGGTTGCCGAGTGGTCCTTCCAGCAAACATCAGGGAAGTTAAAATCCCCCATGACGACCACAGCCTGTGACTGTGAGGCCGCTCTCAGCTGCATGTAGAAGGCCTCGTCAACTTCCTCACCCTGATCTGGTGGTCTGTAACAGACACCCACAGCAGTATCGCCCCTGCCAGCCTGCCCCTTAATTCTCACCCACAGACTCTCAACTCGCTCGTCATCTGTTCCTGGACAGAACTCGGTGCATTGTAGTTGCTCCCGCACATAAAGAGCAACCCCACCACCCCTCCTGGCTGGCCTGTCTTTCCTGAAAAGGACATAGCCCTCCATGACTATATTCCAGTCATGTGAGCTGTCCCACCACGTCTCTGTAATTGCCACCAGATCATAGTCTCCTGACTTAACACAGGTTTCCAACTCCTCCTGCTTATTTCCCATGCTGCGCGCATTGGTGTACAGACATTCCAGGGAGCGAGCTGAGCACACCGATTTCACCCTAGGATTATAGGAGGCCTCCCAGTCTTCACCAATTCTGGAGTGCTGCCCCACTGGGGCAAGCCCAGCTACAACCCCATCCCCCTTCGAATCTAGTTTAAAGCTCTCCAAATGAGCCCTGCTAATTCGTGCCCCAGCATCCTTTTGCCTCTGTGAGACAAACCTTTCCCACTTGTCATTGTCCAGACTGGTCCCCTATAAAAACAGCTATTATCAAAGAATCCAAAGCCCTGCCTGTAGCACCAGTCTCGAAGCCAATCTTCCCATTCCTTCCCACATCATCAGTGGAAGATGGAAGGAGTGAAGAGAAGATCACTTGGGCCCCAGACTCTTTCACCATCCACCCCAAGGACCTGTAGTCTTTCTTCATCCCCCGCAGACTGTGGGAAGCAGCTTCCCCCTCACCTGTCTGGAAGACCAGCAGCGGGTAGTAGTCTGTCAGGTGCACCAGGTTGGGGAGCGCCCTGGTGATATCCCTGATCTGGGCTCCACGCAGACTACACACTTCCCTATGATGAGGGTCAACTCTGCATATCGGGCCCTCTATTCCTCTCAGAAGGGAATCCCCTACTACAATGACCCTTCTTTCTTTCTTATCAGAGGCAGTCTTGAGGTGCAAAGTCGACTCCCTTTTCCTATGTGGCCTTGTGGGCTGGCCTTGCCCCACATTCTCACCTACCTCTCCTTCAAGATCCAGGGCCTCGAACCTATTACGGAGGGACACCTGGGGAAGCAGGGCAGGAAGGGAGGAGGGTTGCCCACGACGCCGAACTGGAACTCGCTTCCAGCCCTTATCGTCTTTTTGGTCCCCTACCTCTGCGCAACAGCTACAGGGCAGGGGCTGTCTCGGGCCATCCCCCTCTGTGTGAGAGGGCAGGGGGTCCTTCCCCTTTCGGGGGGTATCTCCCTGGAACTGTTCCGACTGGCACGCCAGGGAGTTACTCCACCAGTCGATCTCCCTTTCACACTCCCTGATGGTCCTCAGCGTCTCAACCTCCTCCTTAAGTCTTGCCATCAGGCTAAGCAGATCTTCTACCTGCTCACACCTCACGCAGGTGGAATGCTGTCCTCCCTCCCCCGGCAGCAGCAGGCTCTGGCACTCCCTGCATCCAGAGACCTGAACAGCCACGGTTTGGGACGGGGTCTCTGTCTGAGCTGCTGCAGTCTCCTTATTGCAAGCTCTCTGTCTGGAGGCCACCATATTGGTCAGCAGTCTGGGACACCAGCAACAGGGTCAGCAACACGACCTGCTTGTTCCTCCCTGCGCCTGGTGGGCAGCATCGCTGCCCTCTTAGAGGCTCTTTCAAGGCAAGGGGCAGGGGGGTGGTCGCCATCACTGTGGGACCGTGACCCCCGCCACGTCAGCTGCTCTCTCGCAAGGGCTGCTGGGGCTTCAGGAGATGTCGGGACCCGTGATGTCTCTGCTCTATCCCCTCTGATTTTCCTATCTCCGTTGACCCTTGCGGTCACTGAAGCGTGCCGGCTGCAGCTCTAGCTGGGCTAGCTCCGATCAGGGGACTGACTCCTCTAATGGGTTTGTGGCTGTGAGGTGCAGCAGAGGCTTGGCTAATTCATTGGGATACCAATTGACCATGCTTCTTAGGGCAATAAAGTGAGCAAACAATTCTAAGGGGTGGGAGGGAAGTTGCATTTCAGAATAAATCTCTTTTATCAGTTTAAATATGCAGATTTGCTTTTGAATACTGCACTTTTGGGGGGTGGTATCTTATTAAGCACGTGATAGGGAGTTAAGCAAGTCTTCTGTAATTAAATAGCAGGGTGCCCTAAAATATCAGAGAGCACTCAGCCTTGTCTGTTGCTGAGAAAGGAACACACACATTCATTACTTGTTTGCTTTTCTATGCAGAGTAGAATTGGAGTGGTGGAATTCATCTGCAGCAATTAGCAACGGAATTTCTTCCTTTTCCCCGACTCTCCTTATTATAATGCATTCCACAAGTACACATATGAGAAAGGAGTTGTCAGGATAATCTCAAACAAGCTAGTGTGAAATGCATTTTCGTCTGAGAACTTACTTATTCTGGCACTTAGTGAGAATTACAAGTTGTTTGAAGCGGGATAAGGAAGAATTTAACTGATTGTGCCTGAAGAATTGTATTTGAAAGAAGTAAATGGAAATCTTAGAACAGTTGTGGATGCACATGTGATTCTATGATTCTGTGATTCTGTGATTCTGTGATTCTGTGATTCTATGATTTATTTGGGATACATCCTTCTCTATTTTCTTCCCCAATGTGAAAGATTTAGACAGAAATAAAACTACCATATAGCTCAGGGTAACTTATGGATGTTTTTGCAGTGTGTTGTTATAATAGAATCATTCTTTTTTTTTTGTGAAATAATTAGGACATTTTAATTTACTCCTGGGTAAATACAACTTCTCCTTCATTGTCTTCCAGGTACTGTCCAGCATGTGTCAAGCATTAAGTCTGAGCAAAGTAGTGCTCTTGAAAGTGATTTACTGCTGCGTCTGTTGGCTTAGCTGAATCTTGCTGATGCAGTATTAGGAAGGTTTGCTGTTTCATGGCAGTCTATAAACTTTCAGTACCTGCAGTGGAGCTGTGTAATCACAGCAGCCAAACTTGCTGAATTCTGTATTTGTTGTCTTTTGTGCTTGAAATCCCAGTTTCTAGTGACTGTTTTAAAAGGGTTAAACTCAAACTATATTCTCACTCTCCATTATACTGGACTTTGTGCTGGGGCTATGGATATTTTCTTGAGCTCACTCTGGTGAACACATTACCTCATTCATATTACTTCACAGGCTGCTTCTAACAGACAAGGCTCTCATCTGGCACATCAGCTAGGATGTGGATTGCATCAAACATCCTGAAACCCTTCAGACTTTTCTAAGGAGGTGTTTAATATGTTTGATATGGTTGAGTCACTTCTAACTGATCTTTTCTTCCGTTCTCACAGCATATTGGAAGGAGGAAGATGCCAGTTGTCAGAAACATGAGCAGAGCTGTCCGCCAGCTGCTACAGAACTCTGGTTGTGGATGTGGGATTCCCATCATTCCTGCTCGATGCATTGGAGTCTCGCCCCGCCAGGTGGCCTCCGATGCTAGCTTTCACTCAGTTTCCTTTTCAAACTCCAATCATCCTCGGGTGCTAATCACAGGTCAGCATTCCTGTCATAACTATTCCCGCTCCAGCTTCTCCATCGAGTCCTCACTCCCTTCCTCCCTCTCTGGTGAGCAGAATGCTGGAAACAAAACTACTCAAAATATGCTGGGATTGTGATGATCCTTCCCTTATGGCAATAAGATTGGAGTCCTGTCTTAGTAGGAAAGTGAACTGTCCTCTATTATTTTTATTCCAGAAATTTACTAAAACCAGTTCATTGGATTTTCCTTGAGAAAAAGTATAAAAGCTTTTTGACTCACTGAGAAAAATAGTATTCATTTCTGGTGTGATACATATAATCTTGGATCTCTGTCTTTTGATAGCCCTTTTCCTCTGATTTTTGTCTCTTGTGCATCGCCTTTTAGGTGGTCTTGGCCAGCTTGGAGTGGGACTTGCTAAGCTTCTGAGGTACGTTGATATTCTCTGACTTGCTGTGAGGAATTAAAGCTTTAGCCATCACTTCTAGAAGCAGTATATTTCTGAAGAGTTGATTGTAACAGGATCCTGGTGATGACTGCAGATATTCTCTTTTTTGGCCTAGCCAAACAAGTCTGGATTTGAGTGCTCAACAGAGAGACAAAGGCTGTGATTTTATTTAGCTACTACAGGAGAGAGAAAAGTACAAACACCCACTTGAAAAAATGCATAGTCCTTTGCTAAGTACCCAGCTGTTGGGCTTTGTGATTGCTGCCTTTTACCTTTCTGAGAATTTCAGTTGAGCAACTTCAGGAATAAGTTGCCCCATATAGTAAAGTACAAACAAAATCAAAGATTAGGATACAAGATCTTGAAATTTTTATGATCTGGCGAAACATAAGCTGGTGCAGCAAAAAAAAAGTAAGTCTAAAATACATTTCTTTTGGCTCGTTCTGTTCCCCTGCCTTACATACAGTTGTCTTATTTTTACCATGGTATCTATTCGCAATGTAAAATGCTCTGAGAGCTCTCCCTGGTTTATATCATTGTCCATATCCACTCAGCTCTAAAGTATTGCCTGCACGTAGACAGTGTTTGTTGTAGAGGATTTGGACTGTGACCAGAACTGAGCAAACTCACTGTGTTCAACACATTGCTGCAGTTTGAAGATTTTCTACTATTTCTCTGATATATTTAAAAATCATTCAGGTAATGGAAGGCTGAATGTACTCCAGTGCCATCAGACTTGCTCTCTGTGACAGCCTTGTGTTCCTTAAAAAAGCACAAGGCAGAGATTGCTCAGTTGTATTTTCTTTGTTGATATAGAAATAGCTGCAGTTGCAGCAAGCCCAGTGGCTTTTTGCTGTCTGTAGAGGAGTGGGTTATCTCTGGGTAATGTTTTGAGAAAGAAGAGGGCAAGAAAGTCTTTCTTACTAAAGTTTTTTCATTTTGTAAAGATACCTCTGTTCTTATGTGGTCTCTCACTGCTACTAGGAGTAGTTTATTGATTTCCTAAGATGCTATATTAACATTTGAAGGATCAGTAGTTGTTGTTTTTTTTAGTGCAATAACTGATTTCGTTGTGGAAATTATTGTTCTTTTGATACTGCTCCTGCAAAACAAAATAGCAGAGTAGCAATTTACGAATTATCTGAAAGACTCACTGTACCATGTGGGTATTTTTACACAGGAAACGCTTTGGAAAGAACAATGTGATCTTGTCTGACATTAGAAAGCCTGCAGATAATGTTTTTTATAGTGGTAAGTGACTGGGGGAGCATATGGGAAAAAATCTTGACTTTTACGTTGATAGACTAATTACCAAAGTCTAAATGTTAAGTGGATTAAACTGAACAAATCACTCTTAGAAACTTATGGATAGTGCTTTCCTGCTTTGAAATCTTGCCAAGACATTAATTTCCTTTGCCTATTATTCCCTTTTTCTAAATATTTTTCTTTGCTTTTTTCCACTGCTGCTTTGCCACTTTGTTGACCAGAATAACTGCTTGGGTCAAGCTGAGCTTGGCTGTTTGCTCCTGCTGTAAAACGCGATGCACCTATTCTTTGGTAGGGAACAAGTTGGAAATTAAATCCGTGCTTTCTTTTTCTATGCTCAGGCAGTTTTTAATGGTAAGATGGAAGTAGAATAGGATTTTGGGGTCCTTTTATTTTCATTAGGAACTTGCATAAGTTTTTTTTCATCATTACTGGTTAATGATGTATTTAGGTATTTGAACAGTGTACAGAAAATGTTTCCTGCTTTCATGTTGTTGGGTGGATAAAACAGAAGTTCTTGCATCATCAGTCTGTTGTTGAGGTAAAGGTAGCAGTTTCCCTTCATTTGTCTTCCTTATTTACTAATTTATTGACTACTGCTCTTTGGTGTTTATTCTGCTGCATAGTCAAATCCTGAATGTAGGTATGGTCAAGAAGCAGCCATGTGAGTTTAATGTAGAACTTTTCTTTACATCCGTTCTTCCCGGTACTCAATTTCCTACTGGTTCCATTTCTTCTAGGTCCTTTTATCTACGCAGATATCTTGGACTACAAGAATTTGCGTGAGATAGTGGTGAATAATCGGATAACTTGGCTGTTCCACTATAGCGCTTTGCTCAGTGCTGTTGGAGAAGCAAACGTCCCCTTGGCCAGAGCCGTAAACATTACTGGTATGTGACAAGGGTTTCAAGTTCATGACTCCTACAGGGGCTTGATAAGGTCCAGTGAGTGTTCTGACAAATCCTGTTGTTTGTCCCAGGTTTACACAATGTTCTGGATATTGCAGCTGAGCATAATTTGAGACTCTTTGTTCCAAGTACTATTGGAGCCTTTGGACCCACCTCTCCTCGAAATCCAACTCCTGATCTCTGCATCCAGAGACCAAGGACAATCTATGGAGTATCCAAGGTTCATGCTGAGCTCATGGGAGAAGTAGGAATTTTTCATTTTATTTATTTCTTGAAAATTTTGGGATGACTTAATTGCTTTTGTAAGATTCCTCACTGCAGTGTTCTTTTCCCCATTCTTTCCTTCCTTCAGGCTTCAGTACTCAATAGAAGTCTGAAGCAGCTCTTAAGGACAAGTATCTTTTGAGTTTTGTTAGAAAAAGTACAAAGAATTGGAAGCTCACGAAGATCTAACTTTCAGTGTAATTTCTTCCCCTGGTTCTTTTGACTTTGGCCTAATATGCCAATATGAATGACATTGCAGAAATGACTGTGTACAAAGCCTTGCCAAAGCATCCTGGGAAATGATGACTTTTGGTCCTCCCTTTTCCATACAAGAAGAGTCTACAGTCCGAGCCATGGGAGTCTGTACATGCACAACATCTCTTTTGGCTTTGTAATTTATTATAAAGATAATATTAAAACTGTTATTGTTATATACTGTTTCCTTGTATTTTAAATGTATGAAGAACATCGGCAAGCCTAAAGACTGTATTAACCTGAAAAGGCTCACAAACTTAGGTATTTTCTGTTTCTGAGCACTAGATCTAGACCCTGTGTTAAGCTAATCCATATCAAGAATCCATATCAAGAATCCATCTCTACTGATGTGGATGCAAACCAGAAACGAGCAAGTAGGGACATCAGCTACCTTATAGCAAATTATAATGTTCACCAGTCCCTTTCCTTTCATCCCTGTCATGGGAGGGCTACAGCACAAAGGTTCATCCTGTGGCAGATTTATCCTGTGAAATCACTGAGTTGTGAGGCCTTAGTCTTGATTCATAAAGCTGTGCTTCTCTCCTCCTTCCATAGTACTATCATTACCGGTATGGCTTAGACTTCCGCTGTCTGAGGTATCCAGGAATTATATCTGCTGACTCTCAGCCTGGTGGGGGAACAACTGGTAAGAGACTTGTGTGCAGTTCTCAGCATTGCAGGCAAGAATATCAAAACCAAGCCAATACACTGTAATTTATAATGTTTTTGTAGAAATTTAATCCATGGCAGTATGAAGCATCACTGTAGAGATGCTGTTTCAACAGTATTACAGAAGTTCTGTCCACTCCAGCCTAAGGCATAATGTCTTTGCCTTTAAACAATATCTGAGAAATTTCAGATTATTTGCACTCATTGAGATGATTTGCTTTAAAATTATTTTAAACTCATGTGTCTTGCTGCAGTGTGCAAATACTGGAATAACATTGGGATAGTTTGGAATTACTTACACTTGTGCTGTAAAATGTAAATAATGCATAGTCCTGTGGCTAGATTTTATATGGAAGACATTGAGGGTGGTCTGAGGATCATTGACTGTCACAAAGTGAACAACAGATGGAGGCAGATGAGTACACACCCCCATTGTTCTTTTCTACAGATTATGCTGTCCAGATTTTCCATGATGCCATAAAGACAGGCAAATTTCAATGCTATCTAAAGCCAGACACTCGTCTCCCTATGATGTATATTGATGACTGTGTGAAGGCGACTCTAGAAGTCATGGAGGCCCCTGCAGAGGCACTGAGCATGAGGACATACAACATCAGTGCCATGAGCTTCACTCCTGAAGAGCTGGTGCAGGAGGTGCAGAAGCATGTTCCTGAGCTTCAAGTGACCTACAAAGCAGATGAAATCAGGCAGGCCATAGGTTAGTACTGGCTTCCTTGGCAGTGGGTAAGAAAAAAACATTAGATTGCTATAGGTTAAGTGCAAAATAAAGTTTATTTTCTTTATAGGTGCTTGCAAATTGCTCCTGTACAATTCAAGTGTACAATTGAAATTCAGCTTTAGTAATTCAAGTGGCCAGTGATGATATATCTTAAAGTTTAAAGAAGTTCTTCTTAAACCTCATGCTCCTTGTTTCTTCTCTCTTTTCACTGCAGCTGACAGCTGGCCGATGAACTTCGATGACAGGAATGCCCGGAGGGATTGGGGCTGGAAACATGACTATGATCTCCCCGAGCTGGTGACTACAATGTTTAGCTTCCTAGGGTCTGACTCCAGGATTGCTCAAGTTAGCTGAAATACTGTGTAAGATGTTTCCAGATTTCTAAAGAGGACCAGGAAGAAATGGCTAAATTAGTTTCTATTTTTCTGAGTCTGAGAGCATGTCAGTTATTAGCTTTCATAAGTAGCAATAGAGTTGGGCAGAAACATGCTGTTGCTGGAATCTACTATTAGATAAACAGCATTGTTTGGTGCTGTCTGCAATCACAGCACCGATGACAAACACAGATTTCTTGAGCTTTCATACTTAAGCAGCTATCAAAAAAAGTTAAAAAAAGCACTTACTGCTGGCTGATGACTCTTCAACCATTACTGCTGCCTGCCTCTTCTTTGGCAAAGAACTTGGGCCAGTAATGTCAAACCTGGTATTTCAGGCATATCCCACCAAGTTAACGATAGGTTTCTCTTTTTTCCTGGTGGAGGATGTTATACCGTAGTAAGATACCATCCTTTCTATTCTTTGCTTACAGAAGAGAGATCAGAAGAGCTACTTCATGTTTTTATATTGCAGGGGTTGTTGCAATTTTTGTTTGAAATCAAACTTCGGTCATAGTTCTTTTATATATATGTGTATATATATTGCTGTAAACATTTTTCTATAGGGCATACAAGGTAACATTATTCTTATAAGGCTTAAGAATGTGAAGGGGAATAGGACTTGAATTCTCATTACACTTTAAAAACCCAGGGTTTACAAGCTAAGCTTTGTCCTACTCTGAAAGTGCTGCTGCCTCCAGCTTACCCTTGGAGGTAGATCTGAAATGTGAGGAGTTGTTATGTTGTTATGTGTATGTGAATCTGGGGCGTATTTCAAGCAGGCAATGCTTATGTATGGGTTTATTACTAATTGGCAACACTTTTGGTTATCCCAGTTGTTTGCTGTGCTAGCGTGATGACATATTGCCTGGAGCAAGTTTCCAGGGTGGGCTGATGATGGAGCCTTACGGTAGAGTCCCATAAGCCATTGTAATCTGTTTGTGTTCACTACATTTTCCTTGTGCGCTGTAAGTGTATTTGTAGATGCTATTTATGTCTAACTGTCATATGCTTTTATTCTTTAGAGAGGGATCCAGAAGCTGAAACCACCTTCTAGCTATAGTTAAGGGCTGTTCTGCTCATTGAGTTTCACACACAACAGATTCTGGGATTAACAAGGGTGTTTTAGTAGATGCATGCAAGGAAGATACGTTGATTCAAAAGGTACTTAGGAGACATTGAGGAATGACAAACTGGAGAGACAGAAAAGCAATTTAGGTAAAATATCCTTTTCCATGGATGTGACTCTCAGCCATCAGCTACTATAGCTATAGCATGCCTTGAGAGGCAGAATCTGGGAACTTTTGATTTTGTTTCTTTCAAAGAAAAAATATCTTTCATTTTCAAAATGACTGGAAATTCCCTATATGAAGCTCTCCATCTTTTTTGTCTTGTATACTCCAATAGTGTGTGTAGGTAAACCTGTTAAAGTCTTTTTTCTACCTACAACTTGTTTGCTGTGTTTTTTGTGACAATGCTTTGGTAGTTGAGTCTTAGTCTCTCTGTAAGCCTGTGGTGTTTCTCAGTAAGTGGATAAGTGACATGACCAGATTTCTGTCTCTCTGCGAAAGAGTCTGCATGCTGCAGGGAATATGTTTTCTCATGAAAGCCACCTTCAAACGAAGATCTGTGGTGAAACCCAGTTATTTCAAGTGTTTGTTAAACTTGTTTCTCTCAGGTTTGTTACGTATTTTACTGTTTTGGCTGCTGGCAAAGTATGCATTACCAGCTCCTTAAGCTCAAAAACCCCTAAGCTTTTGGCCTGTTATTGAAACATTTTTATATTGTTTACATTTTTGAAAAGACAAGTTTTTAAACTTTGGCCACTGCTCTAGCTATCACATTGTTCAAGTGTAGTATTTGGCTCAATGGGCCAGCAACGTTATGGCCCTCCATTTGTACCCTACCAGGAAAGACTGGCTCAGATTTTGTCCTGTGCCCTGCCAGATCTCTCCTAGTGAACTTTACGCTGAGCTGTCAGGTGGAGGCCTTTAATGTGAGCTCAAGTGTCCTGTCCATTCCAGCCTCAGTTCAGATCCTAAGGACTCCTCATTGCCTCCATTCCACCAGATGTGTAAAATAGTTGTTGACAGATCTCACTCCATTTCCTTACTTCACTTAGTTGGTTTAGGAACAGCCATTTGAGAAACCTATATTTTGCAAATCTGAGATAAACCATATTACAATAGAGAGTTGTTTGGAGGTAACAGTGCAGTGTTAATCAGGACTGTGGCTAGATGTGTCTAGATAGGTCTGGAAGGTCTGATTCCTGTTTGAAATCCTGGTTTTCAACCTGTGATGCATGCATTTTTTTTCATACCTTCCCCATTAACTTCTGTTATAACAGAGTCTTGGGTTACATGGTCTAGAGTGAGATGTCCCTGCCCATGGCAGGGGCTTGGAACTAGATGGTCTTAAGGTCCTCTCCAACCTTAACTATTCTATGATTCTATGTTACAGTATCTTCTGCATCACACCAGTTTGGTGTGGTACGAAATGTCTAATTTTGCTACCAGTTTGAATTTTGACTTCTGGGCAGAGACTTCCCTCATGACATTTGAGCATTATAGCTGTTTAAATTACCTATTCAGGAAAGGAAAGTTGTTAATATTTTGTTTTTCAAATATTGTCAGTTGTGGATGATGCCTACTTTAATAAAATCCTATGCATATGTATCTTGTTTTGCCATCCCTGTTTAGAGCATGTAAGAGCAGTGATGAAGGATCTCAGTTAGTGCTGAAGCCTTTTAATCAGCCACAGAAGCGAAGCATGATTGTAGGCACAGAGAAACATACAGCCCTCTCAGTCTGTGTAGTGACTCTCAATGATTTGTATGACCCACCTGCCTTGTTAATTGATGGATTGACTCTTCTTCAGGTTAAACCCTTTTCCTCCTCCTATGCCTCAATAATGATGGGAAACCTTTTGGTGGAGGAAGCATTCCACTTGACCATAGTGCAATGACTATTGCAACCATTGTTTCTTGCAGAGTACGTGAGGGTGTTACAGCACCATCCTCTTCCCAGCTGCTTCAGTTTAAAAGTGCAATAGGTGATGGTGCTTCATCCAAAGCTGCTGTAGTGGGGGAGAGGACCAACATTACCAGGTCCCTACAAAAAACAACTATTCCACTTTTCCTATTTTTCCTCCATCAGAGACATAAGAATATTTTACGCTGTAATCACATTGATGCAGCAGAAACAAAAGCCCCCTAACCTGTTTGCTTTCAGTTCTCAGATTTACATCTTGCAGCAATGGGCTTTGCTGTCCTCACTTTGCTGTTTTCAGTAAGGGGGAACACACAGAGCTGAAGCAATGCTCATGCCATGGTTATCAGTAGGTACACCCTAAAAAGCTTTAAAGGAAGGTGCTCTGCTCCTTTTCAAGGTCCCAGTGCTGATGGAGCATGCACACCACTGTGCAGATAGAGGCTGGAAAGTGTGTGATTTGTGCCCTCTTGTTTCAAATTAACTAGAGTTTTAAAGTCTCATGGCATGACGAGAGGTAGATTTGGACAGATGGAAGAAGACAGGACAGTGGACTTAAAGTTATGGTTGGAGGTAGATAGAGCTGGATGGTTTAAAGACATCTCTGCACATCTCCACAGCTCTTCTGAAAGTTAATGCAAAGCTGATTGGAAAACATCTGCAGGAGGGGTTGTTTCTTAGCACAGGCATAACCTCAGGTTACTCAGCCAAACTTTCCCAGAGGAGAAAATGAGATTGTGGAAGGTTGACCCTTGCTGGACACCAGGTGCTCACCAAGCCACTCCATCACTTCCCTCCTCAGCAGGACAGGGGACAAGAATATAAGATAGAAAAGAACCCACATGGGTCAAGATAAAGGCAGTTCAATAAAGCAAAGGCAAAGGTTGTGTGTGGATGCAGATGAAAACAGAAGATTTTATTCTCTACTTCCCATAAGCAGGTGATGTCTGGCCACTTCCTGGGAAGAAGGATTTCAGTATGTGCAGTGGTTGCTCCAGAAGGCAAATGCTGTAAATAACAAGTTCCTCCCCTTCCTTCTCCTTCCTCTTAGCTTTTATTGCTGAGCAGAATAAGAATAGGTCAGGGATTAGCCCAGAGCAAAACCATATGCAGCAGGCAATTTTGATTCTGTGACCCTGTTTTGGAGAGCAAACAAATCCAATATACGGTTACAGCAAGGCTGTACCAGCCAGAGAGAGCCCCGGCTTTCCTCAGGTTGGTCATGAAGTCCTTCATATGGGTGTCTCAGTGTCTGGCACAGGAAACGAAGAAGCAGGAGAGATGTGGCCACCTCCTTGCCACCAACGTCCTGGGACTTGGCCATCCAGACACACTTGGGAGGAAGCATGAGGAGGTTCTTGAATATCTTCCTGTAATCAATTCACATGTCCCCTGACCCTCTGAAGTTCAACAGATGTGTCCTCCTTTGCTGCTGGTTCCTCAGCATGTGTCTGCCTTTGCTCCCAGTCTTGTGGGCCTCCTCAGCCCCTTCCTTGTTAAGGGGAAAAGGATGGGACCATGCTCCTGGTGGGATAAACACATTCCCAGTAATTCCCCTCCTACAGTGAGGTCACAGTGGGTAGCTGGATGGGTGGGATGACCTTTAGACCAATCCTGAATAGAGGAGGTTCTTGGCAGGGGATTCTAGACTGCAGCTCCAAGGACACCAGCAAACTGATCATTTTTGGCAAGAAAGGAGCGTTGCTGCAAGGACGATCTCTCCTTACCTATCTGGTGCAATAGGTCCCTAATCTCCCCAGCCTTTACGTAATGCCAGGGTAAAGACCCATCACCATCAGAACTTTTGCCAAAGCAATGTGTCACAGGAGAGAAAGCAAAGTCCAGACATTGTCCACTGACTATCCGTTTCCCCTTCACCAACGCTGCTGGTTCTTTGCATCTGAAAACCAAGATTCATGAGATTTGGTGCATTTTTTAAAGCCCTACCTCCTGGAGTCTTGAATTCTGAGAGGCTCATATGAGGTTCTGTAACAGTCCACACCTTTTTAATCTTTATGAATTAAAGGCAAAAAATAATCTTCTGAAAATTAATATGAACTGCAGCAGCCCAAAAATCTGTAATTTCTAAAAGTGCAGAGTTTTGATGTTTTATTACCATTTTATTTACAATAATTGATTATACTTTTATTATCTTACTTATTTTTGCGGACTCACAGTTTTTCCCTCTATGGACACAGCAATATTCATACATTCTTTTGGTAAATACGGGAATTACATTGCTATTGCTCAAATAACGGCTTGCCAACATTTCCTAAATGGTGATAAATTGCTAAAATCACATTTTCTATAGGAGTGTCTTATACGGAGCTCATCACGAAGTGTCTGAATGTGTTTAGTTACACAGAAACACCACCCCAAGGATGCTGTTTCAGGGAATAAGTGGTTTATTGAGCTCCAGCACTAGGAAAGGCTGGTTTGGTATGGATTTGTGTCTTGCAGCTGATTGATGTGGGTGTCTAATAATGAAATAAAAGGTGTTATTTTTGCAAAGAGATGCTCCTTCCCTCGGCCTGAAGGAACTCCTTATGGCCAGACACACACGACCCTCCATGCTCTTCCCCATTGCACTTGCCTTTAAGGAATGCAAAGGGAGGAAGAGTCAATAAAAGAGCAATTTTTGTTTCTTCCTATTGCTCCTGTTTTACATCATCTCTCCTCCTTTCTCATCTTCTCCCTTTTTTCCATGGTTATGTGTGCATTAAGCAGGTTTGAAGTTGTGTCAGGGTCCAAAAGGTGTCATATACACCCTATTGAAGCCAAACACACTTTGGAAACTGGGAATAACTCCAGTTCCTCCTGCAATCTCTTCCCCACTTGAACGCTGTATGAAAACTGGCATATGTATATACATACATACATGCATATATATATATATATATATATAACATCCCCAAACATCTCAGTCAGGTAACAGCCATCTTTACCGGTGCTGAGGGCAGGAGGAGAATGAATCAATGAGGTGCAGATCCTGCTCATCCAAGCCCAAAACAGCTAACCTCCTGGTTTGCCCACCAGACCATGCAGCAGAGGCACTGCTACTGCTTGAGTGTGCTGATGGGGACCGGGGAAGTCAGTATAGCATGTGAGTAGATAACGAGCTCTGGCAACATCTAAGCTCTTGCCAGGAACAGCAGGAGCCCAGTGCTCACTAGTGACTCCAGGGCACTGCATGCTCAAACTTTCCTGTGGTCATCAGCAACCCATGTCCAATGACTAAGGTTCATCCCTTGGTTTGCACTGTGGTTCCACCTCCTTCAGCACTTGTCTGTGAATATTGCTTCTTCCATTAATAGCAGAGGACTTGCGAAGCAGAAGACAGTGTCCACCCAGGGGTTTGCTCAACTGCTTTCTCTGCTGGCTGGCTGATGAACTGCCAGGAAAACACTAATAAGCACCTTTATTTCTTCACCCAGCTCATCCTGAGGCTTGCTGTCTTCTCAAGAGGTGGAAAACATGCCCAATCTATGCACAAGAACAGCAAGGTCTCACTCAAGACACACACAGTAGATGGTAGCACTGACGTTTGGACTGCTGATGACCTGTGGCTGCCCAGGGGTATTTGCTCTGTTGGCAGAGTGTCCCAGGATCAGTGCCAGGAGCACATTTTCCACCTCCAGCCTCCCCTCCTGGCAACAGCAGCTGGGACGTTTGCCTAAGATAACACAGAGCTTTGGGACAGAGAGGGGGATGCTTCCCACCCGTCCCCAGACACGTACGCCTGTTGGTGACCTCAGCTGAGGGGCCAGCAAGATCTGCATTGCACAGGAATAGAGGTACATGGGGACACACTATGGCCCCATCCAGACCCTGTGTCAGTGCAAGGGTCCAGGGCAGTTTGGAGGGGTTTTGAGTCTCTAGAGATTGCAACATAGATGCAGCCACCATGGTGAACAGTGATGTTCCACATCTGTGCACTGTGCATAGGAGAAAAAGGCATCATTGGGCTGGGAATCCAAGGAGGATGAGGGACCCCACTCCACGCCCCCTAAACTGTTTGCTGAAGGCTGTGACCCAGCATCATCGGGTTGCCCTTGGCTGACCCTTTTGGGGCTCAAACATCACTCTGGTGTGCTTCTATCTGCCACCTGCTTTGAAAGGAGCGCAGTAACCACGGTCTCCCAGTTGCTCAAACCTACAGGGGAAAAGCTCTGTGTAAACCATTCAGTACTCAGTGGACTACCTTTTAGATCTACTCTTTAATACCAAGTGGAGAAGGTGTGTAGGCCCCATTTAGCCTGGATAACGTGGAATACTGAAGGTGACCACAACTGAAACGGGTGTGCAATTGGGAATCTAGAGGGGAATGCAAAGAGGTGAGAGGACATGAAATTTGGTTATCTGTCCCTGCCCTGCTATTTTGGATTTCCCTTGGAATGCTGTCTAGAGAGAACATAAGGATTTCACTTTAAAATAGAACTAGAAGAGGGCAGATTTAAGTGAGATATTACGAAGAAGTTCTTCCCTGGGAGGGTGCTGAGGCCCTGGCACAGGGTGCCCAGAGAAGCTGTGGCTGCCCCATCCCTGGCAGTGTTCAAGGCCAGGGTGGACGGGGCTTTGAGCAACCTGCTCTAGTGGAAGGTGTCCCTGCCCATGGCAGGGAGTTGGAACTGAGTGAGCTGCAAGGTCCTTTCCAACCCAACCCAATCAATAATTCTATTATTCTATGA